GCACATCTGATGAGAAACCTTCCAAGTCAACCACCCAGTGATTGGAAATGGAAGTGGCAAGGGTCTCCAGTGGTCCACCAAAGACCTAAAGGAGGAATTCATGTTGGGGAGACACCAGAAAGGTGTCCAGACCTGATTGGACCTAACCACTGTAGTGGAGAAAGTGCAACAAGTTCCCATGAAATTTAAAAAGCCAGCATGCACAAGCCAGGGAAGTGGGCAGACACTGCACTGGTGCTGTTTTTTTTTTTTCATGATAGCCCATGGAAGGTTCTAGAATGGACACTGAAACACATACATAGACACACAAACCACTGTATGGGTCTTGCAGAAAGCCCCATCTCAACAGTGGGCACTTTAGGAGCCAGGACAGGTGGGTTTAATACTTTTGATTACTCCCGGCTTGAAGGATTTAGGGAAGTAAACATACCTAGTGAGGCAACACTGACCACTGGATGGGTTCTGAGAAGTAAATGAAAGAATGGTATATACAGGTGAGGAAATAAAAGAGGCACTTACCCATTAAAGACAATGAGTAGATTAGAGAATTGTAACTAGAGAGAGGTGATATCCTGAGGGAGACAAAATTGTAAATTGATGGAGATAATGAGAGACAAAGGAGTTAGGCATAGTTCACATTCCAGCCTGGAGTATCTTGTCTAAAGGTCACTGAAAGTGTGAGGCTATAGAGCGAGTCAAGTTGTGGATGTGATGGGACATGATACAGCCTGTAACATATCAATCCAGGGAGGAATAGATGATCCTGAGGAGCCAAATAATCCATTTGTTAAGCTTAGAGGATGAAAGATCCTTGGAAGAAGAGAGGTCCCATGACAAGAATATATGATTTTGGGAATCTTGAAATGGAGCTGTGCATGGCAAGTAACACCAGACTACCTGAACTGGACACAAAAGGCAATCAGGGTCAGTAAGACCACAAAGGGTTGAGATTGATGGAAGAGATATGGGAGAAAAAAATATGATCTCCTTCCCAAGGAAATAAAATCAAGGAATATCTGTGAAACAAAGTACAGGAGGCATCCACTGTATAAAATCAGATCTATGATGACCACACGAAGAAGGAAATAGGCTTTAAGAGACAAATGGTATAAGGAGCAAGTGGCCAAGGATGCAAGTGGGGCCTAGGTAGAAGCATGTAAAACCACATTAAGGTTCCAGTTAGGCACAGAAACTGGACAAAGTGGACAATGAATGAGGAAGGACCAGAACAAAATGGAAAGAACAGGAGAGGAAAAATGCAGAACCATAGCAAAAAAGGCAAAAAATAGTTGAGAAAGCTGCCTGATAGTCAGTGAGGGTAGAAACTGAAAATCCTTGGTTAAACAACAAGGTAAAGAAGGCCAAAAGGTGGGCACCAACAATACAGTAGCAGATGGATTAGTGGTGAAAAACACACTACTTTTAGTGACAGAAAGCGTAGAAAAGTAACATGAATGAGACAAATGAAGAGCTATCTGGTCAGAGAAACTTGACTGGCAAACAAGGGATTGGACAAATCCCATTCATAAAGATGAAGAGATGCCACTCCTGGGTAGGAAGAGAGAAGGTAAAGGTTGGAACAAGAGTAGAAAAGTTGGAGGCTGAGAAATAGGTGCCCTGGATGTCAGTTGGTGAATAAGAGGAAAGCAATACTGAGCCAGCCAAAACAATGCTACTAACAGGACCCAACAAGGTGTGTCAT